AGAAGTGGGCTCTCCCGAAGAGTACAGGGAAAAGACCGGAGCTGTGGGTTCTCAGAAAAATCTGGCTACAAGCTCTGACAAGAAAGGATTTGTACAATCGTTTGTCAGTGTGTTCGACATCTCGCTGCTGAAAAGTCCAACTTTTCTCATTTATGGAGCCTCTTGCTTCTTGTGTATGTTCGGTAAGTTGAAACTTTTGTTCCGCGAATTTAGAATCTCCACACAGGTTTTTGTATTCAAGTCAGCATTACCGTTGTCAGTGACTATAATTTCATAATTTCGTGGTGGTTGTGATAATATTTACCATCATCATAATCATCATAATCATCATCATCGTCATCATCATCATCACTATCATCGTAATCATTATCATCACCATCACTTCATCACTATCATGAGGATTTTGTTGTTTGTTTGTTTGTTTTAGTTTCCAGAAGCCATGAGTTGTTAACCCTTAGGCTCGGTTTTATGGATATGGCAACCTTTCGGCCTTGATTCCATTGTAAATACCGTCAATCTGGGAGAAAATGTGGCTTTCCTGCCTACCCCCGGGATTGAACCCGGACCACAAGGAGTGCGTCACCCGGTCTCCGCGAAATCCGGTTTAGCCAATTCCGCTGGAGAGCCGGGCCATGAGGATTTTAAAAATAAAATGATTAAAGATAATACCCCTAACCACAAAGGACTTCCCTTCCTTCTGCCTGTGTTATTCATATTATACATCGAAGTTAACATAAAACCTAGAGCAGTGGACTCCAGCCTACGGATGGGGGTGGGGTGGGGGTGTGGGACCTCGCCTTCCTAGGTGGGCGTGTGGAAGTTCCAAGGAGCGTGAGTAAGGGGGGGGGGTGCCTCCCTAAGTGGGCGTGGGGAAGTTCCATGGAAAGGGTAAATGAGGGGGGGGGGGGGCGGGGGCGTCAAGCAATTCTTTTTTAAATGACTGAATTTGTACTTGTAATAATCGCTTGTATTAACACTTTGAAATATTTAATGACAAGTAACATTTTTTAACACTTCTTCTAAAACAAAAAGCTAATGAAGTTTTTGTTAACGTGATTAGTTTATACAGCTAATTAAAAAAAATGTAATATGTTAAATTAAATAATACAAAAAATGTCAATTTGTTATGTTCGGGGGGGGGGGGGGGGGGGGAGCTTAGAGCGAAGGAGCATATGGGTCTTGCTATATACTTAAACAGGGCGCCACCTAAAAAATGTCCACTGAACTTGAGCATCACAAAAAAAAAAGCATGAACTCCGTAGCGTCAGCGACATTTTGCCATCTCCGGGACAGTAGACTGGTGAACCGAAAGATGCTAACAACGAGCCACAGTTTTGTGTTCCAGTGTTAAGGTTCCTGTTCACGCCAATGCTGGATGGGGCACATAAGGCTACACGCATATTTTATAGATCATACGGTTTACGTGTTTTCAAAATCACGCCGGTCGCCTTTACTTTCCAGGACTTTACCTAGTACCCATTTAGGGCTTGGACAACCTAGAAGCTAATGTCACGTTTAAAACAAAATCCAGCTTCTTACGGATTTCAACCCACGACCGACAGGATCCACAGGCAATAGTCTAACTGCTGCACCACGACGGCCATCTGAGCCAGAGGCAAAGTAATATTAATTTGAAGGATTTAACCTGATCTGTCAAACATATATTTTGTGTGATTACTGTTTAACAAACACCACCCCCCCCCCCCCCCCCCGTTTTCCAACCACTCGGCTCGATTACATAGCCGTGTAAAGTGTGAAATGCAAACGGCTTTCGAAATATCATATCTTACCTTTTTAAGTGAAATCACTTCAGGCTTTTGGCTTTTTTTTTCGCTCCCACCCCTTTTTGGGGCCATATTTGCTCTCCCCACCCCCAAAACCGCTAGAACAGATCGTCTCATCGGTTCATGTCGTATCTGTTGCTAGTAAAACTGCCTCCATCGCCCCAGGGCCTTTATCTGCGTCAACGCCATCTTGAGTTAGTTAGGTATCCTTTACAGGACGTTTCAAAACCACCCCCAACATTCTTTGGCTGTTGTGGTTTTTGTAGGCTAGTTTTACGGTTAGTAGTTTGCCCTTGTTTTCTGAACGGTTAGCGCTCTCTACCACTGTCGAAACCAGTGCAAAACAAATCCTCTGTAGCTGGGATCGAACCCAGCACCCCGGTATTACGAAGCGCATTCACAACGCCTAAGCCACAGACACCCACCCACCGTGAGTAGCTGTTTCAAATTTTGAATGACCATTGCAGGTTTCTTTGTGCCCTTTATCTACATTCCGACGCACGCCATTGATCTGGGACTAGACTCCACTAGTGCCGCCTTCCTCATCTCCATCATTGGTATCACAAACACCGTGGGTAGAGTGGCGGTAGGCTTTGTGTCTGACCAGGTAGGATTCTCATACAGTGTATGTTGTAACAGCTGCCGTTATTGTCGTCGCCGTGCCTGATTTTCAGTATAACTATCATAATAAATTTACCCTCCTCATTATCATCTTAATGAGAATAGCCATATTATTAATTGTTATAATACTTATTATTATTATACTGTCTGTACTGATGATTACGATGATAACGATAACGTCGATGATAATGCTGATGATGATAATGCATTTGATTACGAAACGGTCGTCACGAATGATATCGATTTAATGAAAACGCAAAGGCACACGACTGGGTGTATTCAGAGGGTCTGGCCGGCTCACTACACCCAGAGGAGTGGCAAGCCGGACAATTAACCAAATTCTGTTCTGTACCATCAGTATTGGAACTCTGCGCTGACTGCTGAAGATGAGGATGGAGCATGCATGGGAATACCCTGAGTGCTGTGATGTCAATTCTTGACTCAACTCACCTCAACTCAGGCACACGAGAATTATTAGCATAATTAAAAGATAAGACGCTTTGTAGAGTCGCATGACAGATTATAAATGGGAAAGCATCGAGAGTAATTCTCTGTATAAGGCTTTGACTAGGCAGAGACTCAATGTACACACGCACACACCAACAAAAAAGCCTACATCGGCCATGCATATTGATGATAGCAAGATAGTGAAAACACACATGGCTTCTGTGACGTTGACGGAGATCACCAACATCTGTGACAGGAGCCAGATGTGTGCAGGTTATTCTATGTTGTTCGAAACCCTGGTGTCTCTGGGTACGACGGTAAGCCGAAAACATGAGAATCAGCCCTAGACAGTTACAGAGACAGTGGACAGAAGGCAGTACACAGCCAGAAAAAAACTATTATTTTTAGTGGATAATTATGTTCTTGTCTGTCTATTCTACAATTTGTGTGTCTAGTTTTATTGCTGATAATTCTATGAAACTGTAGATCAAGCACTATATGCCACATGCCTCGAGAGTGTGAAAAGGGGCTTATTTCTTGAATCATTTTTCTAGGATATTCTGTTTGGAGATCTGTATATTTAGAAGCATCTGCGTCACAGAGGGATGCGAACCTAAGACCAGAAGACAACAGCCAGGATCTACCAAGGATCAGAAACATTACAAACCTGACAGAGAAAAAACAGTGTCGCGTACAAGGGACACAAATAGAGTGTTTGTAGCTAGACATCATTTATCTGGCTTACTTCTCTTACTTTCAGTGGCCTTTACATTTACTGAAAGACACCAAAGCGACATTGTTTCACAATAAATACACAGCGTTTACCAAGTTTCCATTGGCGTTTTAGGCCCTCCAGGAAAAAGATGGCTCTCATGGCTTTCAGACTGTGGTACGAGATTCGCACCGTGGATGAGACTAGGAGCCTCAACCACCATATAATATTCAACCGCGTGTAGTGCGGCCAACTGCAGTGTGGCGACAGCATGGTTGTGTTTTCTAGATAAGCCTAGCTACCCAGGCATCACAGTACACTTCTTTAGTCTCCTGTCATTACCGGCTACACTTAAGCTGTCATTTTTTCTTCACATAGAAGGGTGCTTTGATCGATACTTCTGTCGTCACCCCCCCCCCACCTCCGCACCCCCGTCATTAATCAGCAAGTTCTTTACAGAACGTCGCACTCGTAACAGCACGCTTGACAGTCTCTCTTTCACTAACCATTTCTCCAGCCCTATGTGATTTGATTGCTAATGCCTGGTATCCACCACTTTCGCGGATATCTACTCCTGCCTCTTTCTCTGGAAAGTCCACCCTGTGTCACCGCTCTCTCCATGCTTTCATGACGTTCAACATTGCCAAAATACTCCAGTTTTCAGGACAGGATGTTGTTTATGAGCCAGTTCTCCTCGATGCTCAGAATTTGTAGGATATCGGTCCACAGACTGGCAGCTATTGGCGAATAGCTTGGTAATGTCAATGGACCGGAAGCTTTTAGTGGACACCTCGGAGATGTCTACGGACCGGCAGCTAGTAGTGGACAGCTCGGAAAAGTCCATGGACCAGCAACTATTTACGGACGGCTGGCTAGAAAACACTGGCCTAGTGTATATCAAGACCTAACATTTCAGATCTCTGTCGCATGCCTTTTGAGGTCCAGTGTACAAGACAGATCTACCGGTCATGGTATATGACGCTTTGTTCATCTAATAGTCAGTGTGTATGATCTTCTCTTGGCTTGTTCTTCCTTTCAGCATCAGGTTGTGAAGAGGTTTCTGGTGAGAGTCTTGGTATGGGCTATGTAGATGCTGGTATTGACGACCTCAGCTATTCCATCTATCCATCGCTTGCGTGGTCGACCTCTGGCCCTCCTTCCATTACGTCTAAATGACAGGGCTCGCTGTGGCATAGTCTTGAGACATGTCCAAAAAACGTTGATCTGTTGTTCCTTAATGATGTTTAGTAGCGGTTCTGTCCAACTTTTTTCATTTATGATATTATATCTTCTTGTATCTTCCTGATATTATGTGCGTATAAACTACACAGAAATCTCGGTTGTGAAATTATCGACGCTATTGAAATAATACTAGATAGAAGTAAATCCGTGAGTTTTAATTGGTTCTGATGGAAGTAGAATAAAGGGAAAAGCAAGAGGTTAAATCTCCAGCGTTGTCCTCTGCGACGCTCTAGAGCAAACATGTTTTCTTCAATCCGCAGACATGGGCAGACTGTTTGTTGATCAACAACGTGGCGCTGATCTGTGGAGGGGTGGCCACTTTATTTGTCCCCTACTACACCTACTACTACCTGCTGGCGATTTACGCGGCTATCTTTGGTAGCGCCATAGGTGAGGTTTGAGTTAGCACGTGTGTGTGTGTGTGTGTGTGTATATATGTGTGTGTATATGTGTGTGAGTGTATGTATATATATATATATATATATATATATATGTATATATGTGTGTGTGTGTGTGTGTGTGTATGTGTTTGAGTTTAGTCAATCTTTGAGTAGTAAAGCTTCAATAGTTAACTAAGCGGACTGTCGCCATCCCCTTACCCTCTCGCCCACAGATAGACAGTTAACTTTGTCAGTATTAGCTTATTTGCAAATTGAAAGCTATATAAGCTAAACACAAGAGGGCTTAAATGAACATCTTTTGTGTGTGTGTGCGCGCGCGAGCGCAGGTGTGTGGTGCATATGTGAGTGTATGTGTGTGTGTGTTATGTTTTTGAAAATTATGAATACTTAAATATGCAGAATGCGAACATAGAGCAAGAGGTAGACCAAGAACAATATGGAAGGATAACATCAGAGAAACTCTACAACAGCACGATGTGCCTATGGTCGAGGCGGCCAGAAGAGCCAGAAACAGAACCTTATATCTCCCTCGACACCCACAGCGGTAAAAGAGGAAGTGAAGAAGAAGAACATAGACTATTGTGTGATGCAATCCATTCCTTGACCTGTGACCTTTGTGTCTGCACACCCCTCTAGCTGTATTTGTGTCGCTGCGATCAATCATCATGGTCGAGCTGATGGGGCTGGAGAAACTGACCACAGCGTTCGGGTTCGTTATCATGTGCCAAGGAATGTCCTCTTTGCTGGGACCACCTGTTGCTGGTCAGTGTTAAGTCATGTTGCATGTTTAGTGTTTTCACGCTTAGTTACAGACTTAATGTATTCACGCATAGTTACAGACTTAATGTATTCACGCATAGTTACAGACCTAATGTATTCATGCATAGTTACAGACTTAATATTTTCATGCTTAGTTACAGATTTAATGTTTTTACGCTTGTTACAAATTTAATTTATTGACGCTTAGTTACAGATTTAATGTATTGACGCATAGTTACAGATTTAATGTATTCAGGCATAGTTACATTTCATACAGTTTGTTTGGTAGAAATGTAGATCAACACATTCTCATGCTTGGAGAAACACCTGCAGATACATACATTATTATGAATAAATAACAGTTCCTGCGCACAGATGGTCCTAAAAGTAATACAGAAGCCAAGGAAGCAGTGTTAAACGACAGCCAACTCCGGATGTGTGCTTTCACGCACTGTGACAGCACAACAAGTTTAGACACATGGAAGGTATTTGAGCATGTAAACCTACTGAGAGATGACTAATTGTAGCTGCTTTTCTGGAATTGTTGGCTGGAGTGTTAGAAATAGCAGGATTTGTTGAGGTTGGAATAGTGCGTTTAGAAACTGGTGCCGATGTTCAAAGTTATTTCTCAGATGTTGTTTGAAATAAATGGATGAAACTATTTAATAATATTTACTTGATTCTCAACGTTATGTCATACGTGTTCCCTGCATAACAAATAATTAGTGTACACTCTTTGCTTATTTGAGGTACATAAATATACGATGATCCTTGCTAGACTGCTTTTTGAGAGTTATACAGCACAAAGTTGTAATGTAACTAATGGATCTTTTGCAAAAAACACTTGAATCATGTGATGTATTAAAGTTTTCAAACAGTATAACGGAGTATAACACTATCGTCTGCACAGACGTAAAGGTGACAAGCAATTCATACATACCCCCGGTGGGTTCCTGGGCCCTATTGTGGGGAAGACAGGAACAGACCCACTGCCTCCCCAAAAGCATGTCGTAGGAGTCGACTAACTGGGGAGCTTCCTTTGAAGTCGGAGTGCATCTGCCTGAGAGGCAAGGAACCATCAGTCTGCATTCAATTGAATCAGATCTGTAAAACTGATGCACAGGCAACACTCAGGTTCTGGAGCAGGACTGCAGTCCAGAAGTGTACGAACAACAAGAACTTTACACCAGAGTGTACAGCTGGTGAACGCCAGGAAGAAGTAGAAGAATTTATATATATATATATATGTCAACAACTATATATTAACTTACAGAACTACACCACCATATATATATATATATATATATATATATATATATATATATATATATATATATATATATATATATATATATATGGTGGTGTAGTTCTGTAAGTTAATATATAGTTGTTGACAAACTTTATTTTTAGGGAGCATATGTGGATCCTTAATAATTTCCTTATTTTATGTATTTGGGGACTGTCACCTTTTCATTATTTTATTTTGTTTACATCCCCATCTTGTGTTTTGTTTATATAAGTATTTGCATTATGTATATGTGGATTATTTCAAGTCTACACACTCTATTTACACATATATATGGATAACCAGGGTTTAATGAATTACTGGAAGTGTAAATTATTTTGGTTTGGTTTCAGGGGCCATCTCTGACTACACTGGAAACTACAACGCGGCATTCTACCTGGCCGGAGTGTCCCTCACCTTGAGTGGCCTTATATGTCTCCCTCTACGCCGTATTGCCAGTTGGGAAACAGGGAAACAAAAATTGGCAGCTTCTAGAGAACGGTCAAAGAATAACAGGCCTTTAGAGGCCAAAAAAGAATATGAACTGCTAGACGTCAACTCCTTTAAAGACACAACCAAGGTCGGGGTGTGATTACCTTGCTCACATACCTAAACTTTTGATATATTTGTAACCAACAGGTGGTAATACATGTTCGTGTGGAAGGTCGTGGATTTGGGTCCTGGCGGAGCCAGAGTTTGTGTGTGTGTGTGTGCGTGTGTGTGTGTGCGTGTGTGTGTGCGCGTGCGTGCGTGCATGTGTGCGTGCGTGCGTGTGAAAACTGACCTTTGTTCTCAGCTTGACCCATTCTTGAGTGGATAGAGGTCGAGTAAAGTAAAGGCGGCAGACGTGATGGTGACCACATCACCCATCGAGTGCCGGGTGGTCTATACAAGTCTAGCCCTATATGCCCAAAAGGCACGAAAGCGTGGAAAAGGGGCCATTACTTTACTTAAGTGTTGGTGTACATTGTATCTTCAGCTTGTGTTTTAGACTTATTTTATTCCTGGAAAAAGAAATAATCCGATTCTTGCCCGAGCTGGTTGTTTTCTTGTTGGTCTGTGTGCTTTTTTTAAATGAAATGAAACGGGGGAAAGAGGGTGGAGAACGTGGTCGAGCTTTTCTTTTTTTTTCTCAAAAGGACTTGGACTTGGAAAGAGGGTGGAAAAGCGGGAGAAACAAAAAAGGGGGAAAAGGAAGGGGGGTGGGGGGAGGGACGGGGTTCTCTCGTTCAGCACCAAACATTTCGATTTGTAACTGAAATTGTGACTGAGTGTACTTGTGTTCGTTCGGTCGTTTCCGTTCGGTCGTTTCCGTTCGTTCGTCTGTTGGCACCTTTCCGTCTTTCCAGTGGATAGTAATCTGGTAATCTGGTAATCCTAGTTTCAGCTTCATAGCAAACGGGTCACCCAATAGATGCTCCGCTCCTGTGCCAACGAAAAACAAACGCAGCTCACAGTGTCACGCCATGCACTCAACTCAAAAGCTGGGCGACGAAACTACATCCTTCCAGTCTACAAATGGAGCAAAAATGCAACGGCCACCGTCTGGCCAAAAAAAAAAAAAAAACATTTGCCACGGCTTAAAAAAAAAATATTTAAAAATAAAAGGTGGCCGTGCCTAGCGTCCATTTTGACCGGAAGAATTAAATGAGGGTTAATAAACGGTCACCCCAGCAGTACCCTCATTATTAGCTGGGGAAGGGACTTAGGACTTAGTGGATAGTGTTTTATCCTGCTATGTATTAGGAGGCATAGGACTTATAATCCATGGCGATGGCGAGTGTGACTAGCCAAACCTGCTGGGGTTAAGAAAAGTCTTTTCTCCTCTCTCTCTCTCTTTCTTCTTGTTTCCGAGATCAATCAAGGTCAGGGGTAAAATTCTCTCTCCCTATGGCACAAAGACTGGGCAATATTGTGGAGACCATATGTTGCTCTGCCCCGTGATTCCTCACTCGTTGACTCCTAAGGGAAGGTTACTCCATATGTAGGAACCCCAGCAGTTTAGCGACTAAACACTCGCCTCTGGTCCGAACGGTTTGGGTTCGATTCCACATCAAGTCGGATTATATTTATTTTTAACCGAGGAGAAAAAAACCCGACTTTTTCAGTCTAAAAAAGGATGCAGGTGAAGTCATGGGAAGTAAAGGTCGCCGTCATGACGTTGACCTTATCGGCTTTGAATACGGACTGGTGTATAAAAACATGACCCTATCATCAAATGCCTAATTATTTCCTTTAATATCAGGAATTGTATCAACTCTAGCACCTTTGGCGTCTCTCGCCAACCATCTTGACAGGGATTCGCTTGGATATCCTGGCAGACGTGGATTCTATCAATCAACCACGGGTCGTATCCACGACGTCAATAGACTGCAATGAATCTCAGACATATTCTGTCTCTGTTCTTGGATGTACACACGCACACACACATACACATTAACACACACCCAAACACACATTAATAAATCCCTCCACAATCAAGGTAGGGGGTCGCCGTGGTGGAGTCTAGTTCCGGATCAATGGCGTGAGTCGGCATGTAGATGAAGGGCACGAAGAAACCTGCAATGGTCATTGAAAATTTGAAACAGCTACTCACTGTGGGTCAGTGTTTGTGGCTAAGGCGTTGCGAACGCGATTGGTTATGCCGGGTTCGATTCCAGCTGCGGACGTTTGTCTTGTGTCGGTTTTGACAGTGGTACCGAGAGTTGACCGTTCAACACGCAATTGCGAACTACTGAATGTTAAAATGTGCCTAGAAAAACCACAACAGCCAAAAGATGCTAGGGGTTGGTTCTGCAACGTCCTGTAGAGGACACATGAGGTGATAGGATTGTATATACAGATGGCTCTGTGTGGAGGGGCAGACAAAGTGCATTGGGGTTTATGGCTAAGGCGAATTGACGTCGCTTTGGGCAACAAAGCCTGGCATATGATATCACCACGTTTAGTTTGAGAATGGGGGTGGAGGCAGTCACTGCTGCCTTCCGCTGGCTTGAGAATCAGCTGTACACACATGCCGTCATTGTAAGTGACTCACAGAGCATGTTAAGAAAGGTCGAGAAAGGCATTCTCCGTGCACAGTGGCAAGCATCTCTTCAAAAGTCCGGGGTAGTTAGCATCCTTTGGAAATTTTCACCAGGTTATGGCTGTGTGTTAGGAAATGAGCAGGCAAATAGAATGGACGGTTCTGCACCACTTGGTGGTCAACTGAATGTTGTGAGGGCCCTTTGGGAGCGAGTGAACAGTGCCAACAAACATAGATCATTACGGTCTGAGGAGAATGGCACTGTGAGGAGTTACAATTGACCCCTGGTGATACCAGTCAAACCACCCTCTAGATCCTAGCAGTACTCTCTAGCCATTAAACGGATCCTTACTAGACCCCAGTAGACCCATCTACACACCATTAGAATTCCTACTAAACAGAAGACACCAAGAAACGACGACTAAGGAACTTTCCTTTTGACAACTTTTGCCAATAGTTTTCAGATAGTCTTCCTCGCCGGTCGGGACAGTATTTAGGTTTGTCACCTATAATCAATCAACGATGCAGGAGCCCTTTTCAGGGCTCTTGATGGAGGGCTATGCTAAGCCATTTTATATGACGCACGCAACCTAGTCACAATTATAACCTAAAGTTCTTCTTTCTAGGATACTGGTTGAAGGTGACGAAAAGCCCCAAGCACTTTTAGATAGTCGTGGCACTAGAAGTACGGGTGCTAGATGTGTTCAAAGTCGTAGCTGTTAGAGATAGTGTCGCAAATGTAACTTTCATTGTCTAAATGTGGTCTGTGCACCAAGCCGTGGGCTCAATCTTGCACTTTCCATTCCAGCAACCATTGCCTCTCTACATCAAGACAAGCACTGGGAAACTCCACCCCCACGCGCTTTCCCCCCAACCGTCTCAGCAACAGTTAATGTTTATATTGATGAGCTTTTCATGTGCTTCAGTCTGTGTGTGTGTGTGTGTGTGTGTGTATGTGTGTGTGTGTGTGGAACAAACTGTGTGTTGTAAGCGCCATACACACATACATAATACATGTTGACGCCTGTGCCTTCGGAATTGCGAACTCGCTACATAATGCCAGGGTTCCGGGCTCGATCCCAGCTGCGGAAGGTTCGTCTCGCGTTGGTTTCGACAGTGGTACCGAGAGCAGATCTTTTAGTAAGCAATGGCAAACTACTGAATGTAAAATCTGCCTAGAAAAACCACAACAGCCAAAAATATGCTGGCGTTTAATTCGCCACGTCCTGTAAAGAGTACGTAGCTAACATACAATCACATACATATATACATATACAGATACATGCGAACATACATACTTATAGCATGGTGTCTCTACAGTAAGCGTAATGTCCTATTGCAGACCGCAAACAGTTGTCTGCAACACTCAAGTCTATAAGGTTGAAAGGAATCTAATACTGGCCTTAACTGCAACTCCGACACCAATGGCCCAAGCGTATCATTGCCCACCTGGAACTAACACTACTCGTCTGCCCCAGTCGCTGGCATAGAAGAGAAAGCTATTACACCACCTTTTACATATCCTGTCTCGGATCTGACCTGAGACCGAAGGACCACTGTCCCTGCGCTCTTTCTTAAACCAGCCAATCAACAAAGAATTCCAAGGAAATTTGACTAAAAGGCTAATTTGCTTCCACATTTGATCAAGCTTTTCCCTGGAATTCCCTGTATTAGCTTGACTGCAGTTATCCCAATATTTTCACAATTTTTCAGACAATCAACAGCAAACCAGACCTCTAACCGGTCCAGCAACGGAGAATGACGAAATTATCCCAGCATTAAGAGAGAGAAAAATTAAACTTAAAAACAAAAATGAGAACACTCGCAAAAACAAGAAAAATTATTTCATAGGTAATAACCTGACAATCAGCACTCGTTTAAAACTAAATAGAATAAAACTAAAAGCAACAACCAGCAACGAGAACAGAATTAAAATGTAGACAATAAATAATAGTTGATAGTCGAATTGTTGTTGTTTTTGTTGTTGTTGTTGCTGGTTGTGTTGTTGTTGCCTCAAAGGTTGTTGTTGTTGTTGTTGTTGTGTCAAGGTGTTATTTTTCCTTTTCTCAGTATGATCCTTTCATCCTAAAGGTGAGGTTTCAACATAAATGATTACTAATATCCTCTTTCATCTTGCAATGATAAATGTAAGTAATATAAAGGACCGTGACGGATACTCGTCCACCACACCGTTCTTTAGGTTGTTGTCATTTTTATCTCAACTAAAACCGTCTGGGACTCAAACAGTTAATAACTTTTTATTTCTTTTCTTCTTCTGTCATAACCCTATTACCCGGTTGTAGTCTAGTGCCGTAGTTTCCAGTAGTTGTTTTGTGTCTCTGCTGCTGTGAGAGTGACGGTTTTGTACACCTTGTCATTTATTCATTTACTCTTTACGCCACGCAAGACGGCATTGATATAATCAACTGCTACGACACGAGACCGAATATTGCATTATAGGACATACTATGGTGAGTATCAGACTAGCAATTTTGAACAAGTCCATCACCCAAGAAAGCCGAGAAGCGCACGGCAAATACAGAAAACCACGACACTGGACTACAGCCTCGTCAGTGAGACGACTAGACCACGACACTAGGCTACACCCTGGCGACAGTGAGACGACAATACCATGACACTAGGCTACAACCTGGCGACAGTGAGACGACAAGACCACGACACTAGGCTACAACCTGGCGACAATGAGACGACAAGACCACGACACTAGGCTACATCCTGGCCACAGTGAGACGACAATAACATGACACTAGGCTACAACCTGGCCACAGTGAGACGACAATACCATGACACTAAGCTACAACCAGTCGAATGACCGTGACCCTGGGCTACAGTGAGGCGACAAGACCATGACACTGTGCTGCAACCTGGCGTCAGTGAGACAACAAGACCATAGCATTGGGATAAAACCTAGCGTCAGCGAGACGACAAGACCACGACACTGGGCTACAATCTGTTGAATGACCATGACACTCAGCTACAACCTGGCGTCAGTAAGACGACAAGAGCACAACACTGACCTCCAACCTGGCGTCAGTGCAACGACAAAACCACTGCATTGGACTCAAGCATGGTGTCAGCGAGACAACAACATCACGACACTGGGCTACAGCCTGGCGTCAGTGAGACGACAAAACTTACACTGTTCTACAACCTGGTATCAGTGAGACGACAATAGAAGAAAGACGAAGCATAGTACACCCCCATAAGTAGGAACCCCAGCGGTTTAGCAGCTTAACACTTGCTACTGGTCCAAACGTTTGAGGTTCCATTCCACTTCAAGTTGGAGTATATTTATCAACAAACGACTTTTGATTCCAAAACTAGCCTAAAAGGGGATGCAGGTGAAGTCATGGGAAGTAAAGCTGGCTGGCGTGATGTTGAACGCATCGGCCTCAAATACCGACTGGTGTATAAAAACATGACCCTAGCATCAAATGCTCAATTATTCTCTTTAATATCAGGGATGGTATCAACTCTAGCACCTTAGGCCTCTCTCACCAACCGTCTAGGCAGGAATTCGCTTGCGTGTCCAGACAGACACGCACACTATCACTGTCAATCAAACAGTTGCCGTCGCCACGAGGTTTATTAGTTCGTAAATCCCTCCACAAAGATGGCGGCTGTCATGATGTAGTGGCTAGACACTCGCCTATAGATAGCAAGGTCGTGGGTTCGAGTACTGACGATACTAGACTTTTTTTTAAAAGTGACCTAGGCTCTCATGTTGACTCAACCTTGAGTGGGTACCAAGTAAATCCAAAGAAGTAAAGGTGGCTGGCGTGATTGTGACGAGATCATCCACCGAACGGGTCCTTTACTTACAATCAAAAGTTTGAAAATAACTTTAAACACGTCATAAGAGTCCCTTTGGAGGCGTTATATGTATAAGGAAAGAAATACTGAAATCCTAACAGATCTGAACACCATAGGTTAGTTGCGTATCCTTTACATGACGTTTTTCTAGGCAAATTTACGTCCAGTAGTTTGCCATTGCCTACTGGACGGTCGGCTTTCATGATACCACTGTCGAAACCAACGCAAGGCGCATGGCACGCAGCTGAGATCGAACCCGGCATCCAGCATTACGAAGCGTTTGCATCGACTTAGCCACAGAGCCTACGAACATCACAGGACATTGCTAATAAACAGCATCTAGTTTCGGACACTGGAATATTTTTGCCATATCAAGCTCCACAGCAGGTTGGAAAAACCAACTAGCAGAAGGCAATGTACCAGGAAATAGCAGCAAAGGCCAAACAACACGAAGTAGCCACATGATAAACGTTATTTCTTGAAAACGGCAGTACGTGAGGCGGGAGAGTTGGTGAGAGTCCGAGTTTCTTACACGCAGACCGTGATAATGCGACTTTCTGCAACCCATACATACATCATCATCATCAGGTGCCTTGCCGACTGGCTTGGGCGATCATACCTCTCCATAATCTGCGATCTCCTGCAGCATGTATCAGTTCGTGTGCCGACACACCTCCATGCCATGCAACAAGACTCTCAAGCCTCTTCTCTAGTTGTCTACTTCTATCCTTCCTTCCACAGATCACACCTCAAAATAATATGGATACATCATCATCGTCATTATCATCATCATCATGTAGCAGGTCCTTTGCAGAACGTCGCTCTCATCACAGTCTGCCTGAAAGAAACTCGGTCTCTCGCCAGTTCTCCTGCCTCATATACTTTCATACTCAAGGAGTCACTTATATCCTGTGCCCATCTTCGTGTCGGTCGGCCCTGCCCCTCCTTCCTGTTACCATGCCTTCTGCTATAATTTTTTTTCCAATCCGTCGTGGCTCTTGATATGACCAAAATATTTCAGCTTCTGAGAAAGGATGCTGTTTATTAGCCAATCTTCCTTGATGTTCAGATCTTTTAAGATGTCAATATTTCTCCTCTTCTTTGTCCAAGATATTCTGAGAATCTTTCTATAGCATTTCAGCTCTAAAGCCCCATCAGTATACACTATTGCGTAATCTAGCCTAGCGTTTTCATTTATCAGTTGTTGTACATCCTTTTCTGCCATATCGTTACAGAACTCTCGATTGACGCTTCCTAATGTTACAGTGACCTAATGAAAACTGTTGTTGTTTGTGTTTTAATCGATCCATTTCTGCCCTCTGTGTATCTGCACGAACGAGCCTGATGGTATCTTTAGCCAGTTTTATCCCTGACTTTCCTCTTGTCAATCAGTCTGTTCTTAAATCTTTGAGATTACCATGCAGAGCATGTCTTTCATCACTGGTAACATGGCTTATAAATACGACAATCTAGACTTTGCCGATGTCAACCTTAGACAATACAGAAGTAGAGGAGTGTCTTCTAAAGCGCACCCATGAGCACTGTCTCTACATGTAGTGGTAGTTGGATACAAAACTGACGTCATTCCACTTCCACCACTCGACTGGTGCTGGCTGCAACTCTACACAAGATACCCACTACACCAGTAGACCCCTCCTAGGACCCCCCCCCCCCCAGAAAAACTCCACTAGACCCCCAGAAGAACTCCACTAGACCCCCAGGAGAACTCCACTAGACCCCCAGGAGAAACCCGATGGACATTAGTGGAACTTCTCCTAAACCTCAGTGAATATTCCAGCCGTTCCTTTTCTACTAGACAGAAGATACGAGCCAACGGACTCGACAATCTAGACACATTTCTGCCACCATCAGTGACCCAGGAACATCATCAGAGCTCAGACATCCCCAACAGCCATGCCCAAATTCAATTTTTGTGGCCTCCGTCCTCGCAAACCTAAGAAACTTCCTAAATATGACGGTAGATATTGTTATATAATTTCTCTATTGCCATTTTTCATTTAGGTATTCCTAAGCATTCTGAGTAATTGAGGTTCACTTTTGCGGATACTTTGGATCATTTCTCCAGACCATGCCGGGGTGATGGGGAATTAATAAAAGGACAGACTGGCTAGATCTGCACCGCTGGGAAGTGAACTGATACATAACAAGATAGATATCTTCAGAGCCCTTTGGGAACAAGTAACGAAGTCAGAAGAGAAACTAGAAAATTATGGGCTGGAGAGACTGATGCACCTTGGTTTGACCAGAGAAGTCGGCTGGCAAACATACGCTCAGACAAAAGGCGGGATGGACATAGACTACGACATCTTCCATTAGAACTGCAACTCTGCTCTGGCTGCTAAGGATGGGACAAAGTGCGTATGGAAATGCCCCGAGTGCTGTGATGTTTAATTCTTGACTTGAGCTCAGCTCAACTCTTTCGGATATCACATACGTCCATCCCTCTCTGCAAACACCTTTCTCCTATTGGTTGGTGACATCAAGTGTTTGTAAGTCTACCTGTGTGTGTCCAGGCATGTCTTAAGAGACGACTAAGGGGAGGGTTGGGCTTAAAGTTGGCTACCTCATCCTGTAAAAACACAAAAACCAACCAACCATGGATAAGTCAAAAAGAGAAGCAAGAAAAACCCAGCCAGCCAAGATGAGGGGAGGCTCTTCAAGTAGAAGAAGTATGACACGGTGTGGAGAAAGCCGTAAGGAGTCCGGATCGTCGACGTACCTCCTCTCAGCTAGGAAAACCTCCAGAATTGGCACTTGGAATGTTAGAACTCTCTATAATATAAGGAGAACAATGGAAGTAGCAAAGGAAATGAAACATTATAGAAAACAGGAGAACAGCATAACTAGATTGTCTTTGCATTGGAACCCACAGGGGCATAGGAATAAAGGAATAAAAAAACAGAAGGAGAAGAGAGCTTGAGAATGAACTTCGAAAGATGGGGAGGACATGGGGAGAGCTCCATGCAATGGCGAAGGATAGAACGACTTGGCGTGAGTTGGTTGAGGGCCTATACTCCATACTTGGCTGATAGAAAGGCAGAAGAAGTTGAAGAATATATATATATATATATATATATATATATATATATATATATATATATATATATATATATATATATATATATCATTTTTCAAAAGCTGTATGTGAATGTGTGTTTGAGTCTTTCCCATGTTCTACTCCAATATAAGCCCTCTGTTTACGCAGGTTTTGTTTCTCTTTTATCTCCATAGTCACGGCCCATTGCCGTCTATTAGTCTTCATGATGGCACTTATAACACGTGTTGATTTAAACAAATTTCCTTGTTGCTTGTTACTCTCACTTCCAAGCCATTTGCATCCTTGATGGATCCAAAGATTCGTTCTACGACTCTGCTCTCAAAAATTTGAAATAAGGTTTCGTTTCTTTTATTGTTCTCTCGGTTTCAGAGCCATATAGGACCATAGATCTTATCGGTGTCAGATAAATCCTTAGATAAGGCACTTGAATATGCTGATGTAGGGCGTAGCACACATCTCAAAACAAATACCTTATGAAAATTATGAAGATTAAATTGAGAAATTCAAGAAATGCGCGAAATATTGACGAGTCCCAAGAGAAAAAGACAACGAATATGGCAATATCTTGGGAAAAACATGAGGAAAGGGAACAGAAAATGACCAAACAGTTACCCACATTGGGATAAACAGGAGGAGGTCATATAAAATTACCACACAGTTACATACACTGGCAACAACATGGGGAGAACGAAACAGAAAATCGCCACAGCTAACTACACTGGAAGCAAATGGACCAAAGAAGAGGGAAAGTCCGAAACAAACAGAAGCACTGACAGACGAATAAAGACACATCACAAAATAATAATGATTGTAATTATGGTTGTAAGACATTGTAATTTTTTCAACTTATTTCTTCTGTGCAGCTATTCCGTATATTGTGGGGACTACAGTGTCTCTGTGTAATTTGTTTATATATATGTGTATGTGTGTGTACTGTGTGCAGTAAAAAGATTTGTTAGTACTCCATTCTATATCGTTGATACTAAAATGTCTCAGTTTGATAATATTCTATGATTTTATATGTTGTGTGGACTAGAGTTCCTCAATAAGATTATACTGTATATTTTGTGTGGACTAGAGTTCCTCAATTAGAATATATTGTATATGTTGTGTGGAATAGAGTGCCTCAGTAAGTTTGAATATGCTTTGCGCTTCTCTACCTCGACGTTTACCCCGAGGTGGACTGAGCTACAAGTTGGGATAGCTATGGGATGTACGATCTCACCAATACTGTGGCCATGCAGATCATGTTGGACGGGGCGGCCGGCTACGGATAGGGCCTTCAAATAGGGGATCACTGGATGCCGCCACTACGTGCATTTATGGATGACACGACTCACGGCCAGCCCCATAACTCTGGAGCTGGCCGTGACACGACTATAATCACGGGCAGCAAGGATTCTGCCCGCACGATTCTGAAAAGATTGGACGCAGTGGTCCAATGGAGCGTTATGCAGTTCAAACCGCAGAAGTCGAGGAGTCTGTCAATCCTTAAAGGTAAGGTTACGGCAACCAGTTTTACTGTGGCAAGGAATAAAATCCCCACTGTTCTAGAGGAACCGGTGGAGAGCCTTGGTCGCGTTTACGATTCGAAGTTATCTGATGTCACTGGCTACATGTCTGCTCGCGATCGAGCGTAGCAGGCTGATCGGGAAGTTCAAGGTCTGGTGTCTCCAATTTATTTTGATTCCAAAGCTCCTATGGCCGCTGCTCGTCTACGAAGTGACGATGGCGGCAGTGGAGACAATGGGGAGAAAGATCAACACAGCCTTAAGAAAGTGGATTGGAGCACCGCCTTGTCTGACTGATGTGGCTCTGTATTGTAAGCAGGCTAAGCTGGTACTCCCGTTCAAATCGATAACCGAAGAGTTTAAAGTCGGCAAAGTAAGACTCGCCATGCTCTTGCGCGAGTCTTCAGACCCAAATGTCATCGCCGTCCAGCCCGCTCTAAAGACTGCTCAGAAGTGGAAGGTCTTTGATGCGATCGAATCGGCTCAGAATGCACTAAGATTGAAGGAGATTATGGGATACACTCAAACCGACGGTCGAGGCCTAGGTCACGGGAAGGTAAGTTGGTGGTCCAAAGCCACAGCCAAAGAGCACTGAGACATGGTAATGCAAATGGTGAAGGACAACGAAAACGAGGTTCGGGTTCAGAAAGCAGCCCAGCAGTCGCAGCAGGGCCATTGGGTCAGCCTGGAGAGCGCATTGCCAAGAATACTCACATGGGGTGAGATCTGGCGAATGACCCCGCTACGACTGAGCTTTATCGTTCGTTCTGCGTACGATGTATTACCGTCCGGTGTCAACATGGTGAAGTGGTCTGCGACTAACGACCCGACATGCCCACTGTGCAGAGCGAAGCAGACGTTAGAACACGTACTGTCCGCATGCAGAAAAGTCCTAGGTCAAGGCAGATATACCTGGCGCCACAACAAGGTGCTAAAAGAGTTGGCAGCTGTTGTCGACCAGGCTAGGATGCGGGCCAATGCGAGGGCCAGTCCTACCATCGTCTCCATACGCTTCCTCGAGGCTGGGCAGATTAACAAAGGTAGAATCAACAAAGACGCATACGCTCCATCTATGCTAGACTCTGCGAGGGACTGGTTACTGGCAGTTGACCTGCCTGGCCATGAAAGGTACTCTGAGTCAATCCGGAAGACCGGTCTACGACCTGACATAGTTCTCCACTCTGCGGAGAAACGGCAGCTCATCCTGATTGAGCTGACCGTCCCATATGAGTCGCGAATGGACGAAAGCCACATGTACAAGCTCGAGAAGTACTGTGACTTAGCATCCGGTCTGAGGAGGGACGAGGCTTACACAATAAGGATCTTCGCCGTCGAAGTCGGCGCAAGAAGTCTCGTTGCCACTTCACTCTACAATGTGATTAAAGAATTAGGCTTACGTGGTAATGAACGCAAACGGACACTTAAACTGCTGAGCGAGGTTGCTGAGAGGGCCTCCAGCTGGCTCTGGACACAACGAAATAACGTAGGGGACGGGCCTCGGTGAGCTGGTCCGGGTGTCTAGCGGAAAGGAATTTCTCATCCCTCAAAGGTCTATCGTGTCCGAATTGTCTGCCAGTGTCCCTCTGCCACCTGCTAACAAAGTGCAACATGTGTCACGTTTACCAATCGTAAGCTTGCCGCTCAGTCGTTCAGGTATGCAGACTGCCTTAATTATGCTACCGCGACGACTTCTTATCTTACAGTACCTTCTGCAAAATCACCAATTCGTCTTGTCCCTATCCGAACAACATCCGGTAATTCGTGCAACAGGGGAAATCAACTCTGAGCTTCATGAACTCAGGTGGGCCCAGTCTCTGAAAATGTCTAGGAGCTCGTGGGCCGACAGATTTGTCGACGAGAGGTTACTTCTACTGATGATTGGTAGACCCCTGCTGTACATGCTCCTCCTGTGGAGTTTCTTCTTATTGTATATACTAGAGCGCCATAGTTCGAATAATTTCTATATATTGTGTGGACTAGTGCCTTGGTAAGTTTATATCTGTTGTGTGGACTACAGTGCCTCAATACGATTATATTCTATATGTTGTGTGGACTGCAGTGCCTCAAAACGATTATATTCTATATGTTGTGTGGACTACAGTGCCTCAATACGATTATATTCTATATGTTGTGTGGACTGCAGTGCCTCAAAACGATTATATTCTATATGTTGTGTGGACTACAGTGTCTCAATACGTTTATTTTCTATATGTTGTGTGGACTAAAGTACCTCAGTACGATTAGATTCTATATGGTGTGTGGACTACAGTGCCTCAGTACGATTATATTCTATATGTTTTGTGTACTACAGTGCCTGAATAGAATTATATTCTATATGTTGTGTGAACTACAGTACCTCAATACGATTATATTCTATATGTTGTGTGGACTACAGTGCCTCAATACGATTATATTCTGTATGTGTGACCTAGTGTGCCTCTGAAGGATTATATTCTATATGTTCAACAGATGACTTTGATGTATTTTGCAAGTGGAATGACGATGAGAACACATTCAACTGCGTCGTGCCTCTGGATAAGGAGGACTTTAAAGATGTCATCAAGGAGGCTGACCTTGCCTTGATATTCTTTTTCCACCCAGAACTCCCCGATATGGAAAAAGGCCGGCAAAACTTCTATCAGGTAGGTCTTGCGACAACATTCTATGTGTTACTGTTTCTCTCTACCTAATTCTACTTTTTCATTTGTTGTTTCTGTCTTGCCTGTCTTTTAGCTGTTGATCTCTGATAGCCGCCATAGTGTAGGTCCAGACGATCGCCTCCACATCCGAAGGTTAAGGGTTCATATCTTTTTGGAGTCCGAAAGTTAAAATTTTTTTTTTTTTAAATCTGGCCCTAAATGGAACCACGTAAACTCCTGGGAAGTAAAGGGAGCCGACGTGATATCGACTACGTCTGCCACCGAGTGCTGAATGGTCTATTCAAAATTTTCTTGGCCTATATGCCCAGTAAATTTAAAGGCATGGAAACAGATGCTTTACTTTTTACCTGTAGATTTAAGATATTTGGCGTCTTTTGGATATTTTCTGCAGCTCATACAGGTGAGCTGGACAAGTGGACAACCCTGAGAGAGTGAATGGTTCTGCGTCAATGAATGGTAAACTGGTGTTAGGGGTAAGATGGCAGTTAGCAAGACTATTTGTGAGCTAGTAAACAGTGCAGGCCCACGAAGCGATCGTCACGGTCTGAAGAGATCGTCACGGTCTGAAGAGATCGTCACGGTCTGAAGAGATCGTCACGGTCTGAAGAGATCGTCACGGTCTGAAGAGATCGTCACGGTCTGAAGAGATCGTCACGGTCTGAAGAGATCGTCACGGTCTGAAGAGATCGTCACGGTCTGAAGAGATCGTCACGGTCTGAAGAGATCGTCACGGTCTGAAGAGATCGTCACGGTCTGAAGAGATCGGTGCAACTAAGGGTGACAAGAGGATCTGCCAGACGCTCAAAACTCATGGCAAGGGCGAGACGGATACAATGGTATTATTGCTAGATGTCCCATCGCAACTGGACCGTTGTGCTGGCTCTTATAGACCTTCTTCTTCTTCTTTCGTTCGCCTGAAATAAGTTGTCTATATCAGCAATTTTGTCTCTTGTATAAGATTCCCTGTCGTTGTTAATTCATTCAGTGGTCCATAGAGTTTACGTTCCACTGTTGTTCTTTCTGGCCAAAAGGTTTACCTTAATGTGTCAAAATCGGTGCAGTCCTGGAGTACCTGCTCTGCCTCTGGGGCACCTTTCCACAGGTGCACATGGCTGATACGCCTATCTTGAATTTTGTGTACATGTGGTTACGTAGTCGGTTGTGCCCTGTTCTGAGGCGGAGGATAATGACTTGTTCTGATCTGTCCATAATAAAATAGTCGTCTTGTGCTGGGGCTGGTGGTTTCCTGATTGATTTAATGATTCTTTTCTTTTTGTGGTATGTGACTGGTACATCCAGCTGCACTTTTGTCGCACCTTCTTCTGTCAGTTGATCAGCTTTCTCATTTCCATGCACTCCACAATGTGATGGTATTCACTGCATTACAACTCTTTGCTGATGGCTAAGGTGTGTCAGCAGTGTTTGCAATTCTGGTAGTTTTCTAGACTGGAGTTCTTCAAGTACTGATTTTGCATCTGTCAGCATTACCACATACTGTGAGCCAAGATTGGTATTTAGCAGTTTCTCTGTTGCTATCTTGATAGCCTGAGTTTCTGCATCATAGTTATGGCAGTACTTTCCATTTGGTACGCAGGACTTATCCCTAGTACCATCTGGGAATTCTATGTACACTCCAGCACCACCATTTCTAACTGCACTTTCTGCGGACCCATTTGTATAAATTCTGACCCATTGTTCTTGTGGGTATTCTTTATCAATAAAACTGAGGATGGCCATTCTGCGTTGTACACTATTTTGTTCTTTCTTGTCAAATATTCATTTCACATTTGTCTGGATTTGTACTGTTAGTTTGCATTTCTCTCTCCACGGGGTTTGTTCTGGAATACTGTTAAGTGGACAACCAATTTCTGGAAGGTCAGGAGTTTGTCTACATATTCTATTTGCTTGATGTATAAAGCTGCTTCTTTTTAACAGTCCCAAGGTTAGGTTCTGAAATCTTTTTTTCATTGGGTAATCTTGCACACTGAGGAACTTTTCAGCTTGTATTTGCAACTTTGTATCTCTGCGTTCTCTTAGTGCCTGTGTTTTCCCAGCTTTCTCCATTTCTAATATGGGGGTTGATTTATAGACCGTGTATAGAACTTCTTTTTTGAGTATGTTTGTTTCTGCAGTTCACATGACACATCAATTTGACTTCAACAAGTTATTATTAGTGTCATTATTTATTGTTATTATAGCAAGATTAAACACGGCTTAACATCCTTGAGACCACAGAGATTAGACAATTATAAAGAGGCCGAAACATCCAATGAAATTTCTTCAATGGATGAGCCAGTGCTATTACTAGATCATTTATTCATGTTCCCATCTGTACCTGTGATGTAGTGTATGAACGGCAGGAAAACATGTTTCTATCTGTAACTGAGTGAAGTAGTGTATAAAGGGCAGGCAAACATGTTTCTATCTGTAACTGTGTGAAGTAGTGTATAAAGGGCAGGTAAACATGTTTCTATCTGTAACTGTGATGTAGTGTATGAACGGCAGGAAAACATGTTTCTATCTGTAACTGTGTGAAGTAGTGTATAAAGGGCAGGTAAACTTGTTTCTATCTGTAACTGTGTGAAGTAGTGTATGAAGGGTACGCACACATGTTTCTATCTGTTCCTTTTTTTTTTTTCACGTTACACTGGATCGTACGCCATAGTCTCAAAATACGTATCACTTCTTCTGTTGTTGGCGTGAATTAGAAGTAGTAGTACATTTGACCCCACCAGGACATCACACAAGCGATAAACACCCTATGACACAAAATGCCACCATGTTGATGTGGATCACCCGTGGAGATGTCCCAGAAACCGCGTTTAGCCATTAGACCAAATTTATGACCGAGCTATATAGCGGTCTCTGGCAAGAGCTAGGGTGGGGCTTCAAAATAACAAAACAAAAAATTGCATCCTACAAAAAGATAACTAGTCTTTTTAGTTCGCCTGAAATGTGTTGTCTTTACTTGCAAGTTTGTCTCTTGTATAAATATCAATGTTTCTTTTTTTTTTTTTCATTCAATGATCCGCAATGTTTAGTTTTCACTGTTTTTGTTTAATGTTGCCTGAACTGATACATTCGAAACTGTTTTATAATATGTGTTCTGCTGTCGGGAACAACATTCCACTTGTGCACGCCAACTGTAAATCTCGTATTCATTTTGCTGTGTGTTCAATTGTGTCCCTTAGTGAGACGAAGATAGTTAACATGTTCTGTCGGATCTGACTATAATAAGGAATTCAACTTGTGTCAGGGCTGGTGGATTTCGGATTGATTTTTGAATAACTTAACCCTGGTTCGCAAATCTGTTTCTGCAAATATGAAACAGTTTATAGCTAAACCAAGTAGCGTCTTGAATACAATACTGAATCTGGTAAAACTGATGCTGTCTGTTTCAGGCGGCGCTTCATTCGCAAAGGAAAAACCACATTTTTGGATCTCTCAACTGTCTGGAAGAACCAGAGATTTGCTGCAAGGTGGGAATAGAGACGGTTCCTACCATGAAGCTGTTTGCCGGTAGACGAGTCGCGGGAGAGAAAGATCCGACAGCAATAGATTACATGAGCATCCTCAAATGGATGGACTCTTTCAGAATCTAACGTGACAACAAACAACTTATAAAAGAACAAAAAAAATTTATCTACAACGCCGGATAATACAATTTATCTTTTATCCACATAGGAGAATATGTGTCCACCTTCTGGCTCCCCGATTATCCACAGTTACCCACAGCCATATTAGAGAACAGCTCCCTGCCTTTCCCTTCCCGCTCATGACAGAACCTGTTGCAGTGCCAGGTGACCCACTTGGATTTAACACCACAGGAGGACCGCTAAGCATGGCTTTAATCTTGGACGCCTGAGAGACTGCGGAAACAGTAGCACAGCCAACTCTTAAATATATAACTGCACATCCACGAGGAAAAAAACCAGGCCTGCGGTCCTTCAGTTCACCATTTTTGTCCGCACCCAAGCTGAAAATATCACAGTTTTGCCTAATTCTATTCTAGTGTAATATTTATAGGCAGGCTAACGAAATCATGGTCTATCTTACCCGAACTACCACTTTCGTTTCCCTTGCCTATCTCCCGTTGATGTCCTTATCCAAGCAGAAAAACTCCCAGCACCCCCTCCCTCCACCCATATCCCACTGATATACTCACGCAGGCGTCCGTCTAGTGGTCATTACTACCCACACATGCCCTAAATCTCCGTCCATTCCTAATTCTTATCCACACTTACACTTGTCTGTCCTGCATCGCTTGTGATCTCCACAAGGCTTCATTTAACAGCGACGTTAAATAAGGTGGCATCGTGACTACACTACAAGAGTTGTACTAAATCTGTAGACAGCAAAATCTGCTTGAGCACAATTGTCATTGAGAAAAGGCCTTCCACCAGAAAGAAACCCATCTCCATAGGTTAAACATTCACAGATACGGCTGACGCTCTAGCTCGTCTGCGGGACAGCTGCCACAATCACATATGTTAGACACTCTAGCGTGTCTCCTAGAAACAGCTCCCACAATCACATATTTAAGTCACTCTAGTGTGTCAGCTAGAAAGCTGCAAACACCACATATGTCAGCCACTCTAGCGTGTCTACTGGACAGCTCCTACAACCACATAAGTCAGCCACTCTAGCGTTTCTACTGGACAGCTCCTACAATCACATATGTCAGCCACTCTAGCATGTCTACTGGACAGCTCCTACAACCACACATGTCAGCCACTCTAGCGTGTCTACTGGACAGCTCCTACAATCACATATGTCAGCCACTCTAGCATGTCTACTGGATAGCTCCTACAATCACATATGTCAGCCACTCTAGCATGTCTGCTGGACAGCTCCTACAACCACAAATGTCAGCTACTCTAGCGTGTCTGCTGGACAGCTCCTACAACCACATATGTCAGCCACTCTAGCGTGTCTGCTGGACAGCTCCTACAACCACAAATGTCAGCTACTCTAGCGTGTCTGCTGGACAGCTCCTACAATCACATATGTCAGCCACTCTAGCGTGTCTGCTGGACAGCTCCTACAACCACAAATGTCAGCTACTCTAGCGTGTCTGCTGGACAGCTCCTACAACCACATATGTCAGCCACTCTAGCGTGTCTGCTGGACAGCTCCTACAATCACATATGTCAGCCACTCTAGCGTGTCTGCTGGAAAGCTCCTACAACCACATATGTCAGCTACTCTAGCGTGTCTGCTGGATAGCTCCTACAATCACATATGTCAGCCACTCTAGCGTGTCTACTGGACAGCTCCTACAGCCACATATGTCAGCCACTCTAGCGTGTCTACTGGATAGCTCCTACAATCACATATGTCAGCCACTCTAGCGTGTCTGTTGGATAGCTCCTACAACCACATATGTCAGCCACTCTAGCGTATCTGCTGGATAGCTCCTACAGCCACATATGTCAGCCACTATAGCGTGTCTACTGGATAGCTCCTACAATCACATATGTCAGCCACTCTAGCGTGTCTGCTGGACAGCTCCTACAGCCACATATGTCAGCCACTCTAGCGTGTCTACTGGACAGCTCCTACAACCACACATGTCAGCCACTCTAGCGTGTCTGCTGGATAGCTCCTACAACCACACATGTCAGCCACTCTAGCGTGTCTGCTGGATAGCTCCTACAGCCACACATGTCAGCCACTCTAGCGTGTCTGCTGGACAGCTCCTACAACCACATATGTCAGCCACTCTAGCGTGTCTACTGGATAGCTCCTACAATCACATATGTCAGCCACTCTAGCGTGTCTACTGGATAGCTCCTACAATCACATATGTCAGCTACTCTAGCGTGTCTGCTGGACAGCTCCTACAATCACATATGTCAGCCACTCTAGCGTGTCTGCTGGACAGCTCCTACAACCACATATGTCAGTCACTCTAGCGTGTATGCTAGACAGCTCCTACAGCCACATATGTCAGCCACTCTAGCATGTCTACTGGACAGCTCCTTCAACCACATATGTCAGTCACTCTAGCGTGTATGCTGGACAGCTCCTACAATCACATATGTCAGTCACTCTAGCGTGTATGCTGGACAGCTCCTACAGCCACATATGTCAGCCACTCTAGCATGTCTACTGGACAGCTCCTACAACCACATATGTCAGTCACTCTAGCGTGTATGCTGGACAGCTCCTACAATCACATATGTCAGCCACTCTAGCGTGTCTGCTGGACAGCTCCTATAACCACATATGTCAGCCACTCTAGCGTGTCTGCTGGACAGCTCCTACAACCACATATGTCAGCCACTCTAGCGTGTCTGCTGGACAGCTCCTACAATCACATATGTCAGCCACTCTAGCGTGTCTGCTGGACAGCTCCTACAATCACATATGTCAGCTACTCTACCGTGTCTGCTGGACAGCTCCTACAACCACATATGTCAGCCACTCTAGCGTGTATGCTGGACAGCTCCTACAATCACATATGTCAGCCACTCTGGCGTGTCTGCTGGACAGCTCCTACAATCACATATGTCAGCTACTCTAGCGTGTCTGCTGGACAGCTCCTACAATCACATATGTCAGCCACTCTAGCGTGTATGCTGGACAGCTCCTACAATCACATATGTCAGCCACTCTAGCGTGTCTGCTGGACAGCTCCTACAATCACATATGTCAGCTACTCTAGCGTGTCTGCTGGACAGCTCCTACAACCACATATGTCAGCCACTCTAGCGTGTCTGCTGGACAGCTCCTACAATCACATATGTCAGCTACTCTAGCGTGTCTGCTGGACAGCTCCTACAGCCACATATGTTAGCCACTCTAGCATGTCTGCTGGACAACTACTACAACCACATATGTCAGCCACTCTAGCGTGTCTACTGGACAGCTCCTACAGCCACATATGTCAGCCACTCTAGCGTGTCTACTGGATAGCTCCTACAATCACATATGTCAGCCACTCTAGCGTGTCTGCTGGATAGCTCCTACAACCACATATGTCAGCCACTCTAGCGTGTCTGCTGGATAGCTCCTACAGCCACATATGTCAGCCACTCTAGCGTGTCTACTGGATAGCTCCTACAATCACATATGTCAGCCACTCTAGCGTGTCTGCTGGACAGCTCCTACAGCCACATATGTCAGCCACTCTAGCGTGTCTACTGGACAGCTCCTACAACCACACATGTCAGCCACTCTAGCGTGTCTGCTGGATAGCTCCTACAACCACACATGTCAGCCACTCTAGCGTGTCTGCTGGATAGCTCCTACAGCCACACATGTCAGCCACTCTAGCGTGTATGCTGGACAGCTCCTACAATCACATATGTCAGCCACTCTAGCGTGTCTGCTGGATAGCTCCTACAAACACATATGTCAGCCACTCTAGCGTGTCTGCTGGACAGCTCCTAAAATCACATATGTCAGCCACTCTAGCGTGTCTGCTGGACAGCTCCTACAACCACATATGTCAGCCACTCTAGCGTGTCTACTGGACAGCTCCTACAATCACATATGTCAGCTACTCTAGCGTGTCTGCTGGACAGCTCCTACAGCCACATATGTCAGCCACTCTAGCGTGTATGCTGGACAGCTCCTACAATCACATATGTCAGCCACTCTAGCGTGTCTACTGGACAGCTCCTACAATCACATATGTCAGCCACTCTAGCGTGTCTGCTGGACAGCTCCTACAACCACATATGTCAGCCACTCTAGCGTGTCTGCTGGAAAGCTCCTACAACCACATATGTCAGCCACTCTAGCGTGTCTGCTGGACAGCTCCTACAATCACATATGTCAGCTACTCTAGCGTGTCTGCTGGACAGCTCCTACAGCCACATATGTCAGCCACTCTAGCATGTCTGCTGGACAACTACTACAACCACATATGTCAGCCACTCTAGCGTGTCTACTGGACAGCTCCTACAGCCACATATGTCAGCCACTCTAGCGTGTCTACTGGATAGCTCCTACAATCACATATGTCAGCCACTCTAGCGTGTCTGCTGGATAGCTCCTACAACCACATATGTCAGCCACTCTAGCGTGTCTGCTGGATAGCTCCTACAGCCACATATGTCAGCCACTCTAGCGTGTCTACTGGATAGCTCCTACAATCACATATGTCAGCCACTCTAGCGTGTCTGCTGGACAGCTCCTACAGCCACATATGTCAGCCACTCTAGCGTGTCTACTGGACAGCTCCTACAACCACACATGTCAGCCACTCTAGCGTGTCTGCTGGATAGCTCCTACAACCACACATGTCAGCCACTCTAGCGTGTCTGCTGGATAGCTCCTACAGCCACACATGTCAGCCACTCTAGCGTGTATGCTGGACAGCTCCTACAATCACATATGTCAGCCACTCTAGCGTGTCTGCTGGACAGCTCCTACAATCACATATGTCAGCCACTCTAGCGTGTCTGCTGGACAGCTCCTACAACCACATATGTCAGCCACTCTAGCGTGTCTACTGGATAGCTCCTACAATCACATATGTCAGCCACTCTAGCGTGTCTGCTGGACAGCTCCTACAACCACATATGTCAGTCACTCTAGCGTGTCTGCTGGACAGCTCCTTCAACAACATATGTCAGGCACTCTAGAGTGTCTG